ACTCAATTCTAATATCCAATTTGGGATTTTCTTCATTTAACCTTCCCTCTTATCTCATTGAAAGCTTCCCATATCGCTACATCCATTAGTTTGTTTTCGCTTCATTGCTTAAGAACTTTATTACACGATGTCTCAACATAATTTAAACGAGTACATTACTTCAAGAGGGCTTGAGGTCTTTGTGTAAATATGCCCTTCGTAACTATGAACGTATTTACAGTTGCGGTAAATGTTGGCCAAAGGTTTAATTTAGAATGATGAATTAAACTTTTTCTTCCCTAAGCTTGAACGAAATTGAATGGAAGAAGCATTTGCAAAGATTAACTGTCATCTTTGTGTTATCTTCTAATCATGGCAGCATACCTAGGTTTGGATACCTTCCTTCCAGTGCAGTTATGAATTTCTGTGAGGAAAAAAGATGTAAAGCCTATTCTTACAAAAGATGCGTAATTTCTTCCTCATTCTAGAAAAAAATTATCTTTTCTTTTTATAATGGCAAAGCTCGGACACCCACACATATTTGGCAGTCGCGAAAGTGGGGAAGGTTCAAGGTCGTCTTAATATGTGACTGAGATAAGTAAGCCAGGAGGGGGTGCATGTCGTTTAGTACCCGTCACTTGCTGCAAGAGGGTATTAGGAAATTGAATTTGGCTGTGATCGCGCAGATTCAGCTGGTTCACCGCGATCGGTGCCTTGCGTGGTCGTTGTCGAGGCTCCACCCTGCTACCCCAAGATGTTTCCGTGTTATCGTGACGTCCATGCTGTTCTCTGCGCATGGAAGCTGTCATTTGATGTCGCGTACTGTAAGATATATAAGTACCGCAACAAGAGAATATCGATGACATGGGACAGCGTGCCATTGATACATCAAGTTTGAATTCTGAAGAAGTCATTTTGATATAGTTTCATATATCTTTACATAAGCATTTTTCATGTTTGATGTTCGTTTCTACTTTTACTAAAATTTTACTTGTTATGCATGTTCCGCTTTCAAAACCGATAGAGGCAGCTCAGTTACATATAGTGTAATCTTACAATTTTCTTGGCGAACAAAATATTAGCGAAAGTCAGTGTCAATAGCGAGAAGCGTTTAAACCCAACTTAATCATTTTCGATGTCTCAACTGGCAATACGCAAACTTCCTTCCTTCTGACGCTTTGGCTGTTTTTTTAAATATTCATGTCTCTTTCTACTGAAAAATCATCCATAAAAACGTTTAGCGATTTTTTACTGGATTAATCATGATATGGCAAAATGCGGAATCAACTGGCTTTCTTGCTGTCGGAGAATTAGTGCACTGTCTGCTTGGTCATCTTCCACTCTTCATACAGCTTCTGGTTACTGCGTACCTTCTCGAAATAGTCGACATTGGAATTTTTGGCCAACAATTTTTAAGCTTCAACGTTTGCTATGATCGTGTCTGTCAAAATCCATTAACCTCTACTTTTTGATGCATCTGAAATGACGCGCCACTTATGATTATATTTAATCCTCGGCCAAAATCATGAGAGCCTCGTAAAATGCCTTTAGTTTTTTGGAAGTAAAAACAAGCGTGAAAAAAGCGATCTTTGTACACATCTTAAATCAACATGCATTCGAAAGAAATGCAAATGAAACGTTCCCTTTTTCGGATGATTAAGACACAGTGAAAGCAACATATCTTACTCTGGGTCTTTGAATAAGTGTACGAATTTTAATTGATGAAGTTGGGATAAACCTTTTTGAATGTTTAGCAAATTCTTCATAAAGAAGCAATGACCGACATGTGTACTGTTGGGCAAATTGAACTCTTTGAGCACCTGAGACAACCATTTTTACTAATATCTCAGAAAACGTTAAATCACATCAATAAGTTCCACAGTGAGACCCAAAAATTTGGAATCCTTACAAAATTCGCGGAGCTTGTGTAAGGTTTCAAGAAAGGGTTCACACTGTTGGCAGTTGAGACGACAGCTCTCTGATCAGGAGCGGATACATATTTGAGGTGACGATCCAATAAGAGCTGCATATTGCCAAATGGAAAATCTCTCTTCCATAAAAAAATCTTTAAAAAATTATAACGTCTTTAAAAATTATAACTTTTACCATCACTTATGCTGGGCTGCCTGACTATCCGTCTACGCAGTGCCGGTCGATGTATTTGTTTTGTTGGATGCCAGTCCTTCTTATGCAAGTTCGAGTCCCTTCACGTACGATCATGCTTTTTCTCTAAAAAGGTTTCTGCGTTCTCAAGCGGGATATAAATATAATGATGCATTTTCTCATCTGATTATTGTAATCAATAGTTCCAGAAATGCAAGTGTTGAGGATAATTTTAAGATTTCATAAGATATATCCCCTTAAAGCGGTGGTTGTTTTAGCGCGAATAACAAAAATGATTAAGGAGTTTGTAGTTAAGGTTTTGTTTATATGATGCCACAAACAAGCAAGAAAATTTGAAAAGATGATAGTGAGAATAGATAAGTGTTAGGAATTTGATTATAATTCCCTCTATGCTAAATACTATGAGCAAGCAAGCCTAATGCATATTCAATAATTGTTTCTTGTCATCTTCGTTTTGAACTTTTGCTTTTTTTCGAAAAAGACAACCTAAGGTGCTTTGGGAGAACTGCTTAGATTTTGATTGGAACAAGTTAAAGTGCATCATTCAGTTTAAGATACCACTTAAATACGCATAAAAAGCGTTTTATAAAAAACAAAAATGATCATTTGTGAAGAGGCTCGAGCCTGCATCAAAATGGGTGGCAACCAATCTTCTTACCAATACACGCACTGTTTGGATATTCAGATTAACCTTTAGAAAGAGGTGAAAATTGTTATATAAACATTATACAAACAAAACTAGACTATTTCAGTCCATTTTCGTTTGCCCATGAAAGGTAGGCTTCGAAAATAACAATTGTAATGAGTAACTTTCATTCGTTAAGCTTATTGCGAGAAACGTTTTATCTCGAACACTGTCTGATAGCATTCCATATGCACATTAATAAGAGTAACTGTTGCTCGTTGTCTTGTAAGATAATCTCAACCACTGCTCTAAGCAAATAAATCTTATAATATTTATCGCTTTCAAGACTCACTGATATCTACTTTCGATTGCACTATTTGTCAACTTGGCTCATCAATGAGTGGCTATGATATCTTACATCACTCTATTTCCGGAAAATTTGAAGAACGTCCAGTTTTTGGATATTATTTGCTACCGTAACTCTACTGTATGACGAGATAGAGCGTACTATCTTTACGAATACCAGTATATTAAACAACCTTATAATGATTACAGTTGAGCGATTGTAAAGACTTCATATCAAAAATTTTCCAA